CGTGTTATATTTATTATTAATTTACTTAATTCATTTATACCCTACTTTTCTACTCAATGGGGTCCCAAAGTAGCTTACATCATTCTCCTTCCCCCATTTTATTCTCACAGAAATCCTGTGAGATAGGTTAGGCTGAGAGAGAGTGTAACAGGCCCAAGGTCACCCAGCAAGCTTCTATGGCCTGAGTGGGGATTTGAACCTGGGTATTCCAGATTTTAAATTCTCCTGCGGCCTGCCCAGTAATCTATTCAGAACTATCAGATCTGCTGTGCTCTTCTAATCTTTCTGTTGTAACATTTAGCCTAGAAATGCTGCACAAAAGTTGATCCTACTTAAACTGTTGCACAGACAAATCTATCCTTTGACTGTGGTGCCAGAAATAAAGAGGCAATATCAGTCAGCTATTTCATAGCTTCTACATATCTGGGTACCAAATGTTTGATTTGTTGCTACTGACATTGATATCGGGAAAGCAGATCTGCAGTTGTCTTAGGCCAGAGGCTCAGAGCTAGATTTTATTTAAAGGAGGCTTCTGGCTTTTACTGCAAAGAACAGTCCCTTGTCTCTTCCTCTGTCTCTCTGTGTACGTTGATAACCCTGCTTTTCTTCCAAATGGGGACCCCTCCAGAAAGCTTATGTCAGGGGGTGTGGCCTTCTGACACACTTCCGGTGATGTCAGGGGGTGTGGCCTTATGACACACTTCCGGTGACGCCAGGGGGTGTGGCATATGCTAATGAGTTATGCTAATGAGCTCCTGCCACTCTTTTTCTACAAAAAGACCCCTGAACTATACTTAACCATTTTTAAACAGATAGGTAACCCCTCATACGGTAACCATATGGTAACCAGGGCAGGAACCATAACCATATGGACTGTGGGATATAAATTGAACAAAATAAATAAATAAATGGTGGAAAGTACCGTCAAGTCATAGCTGACTTATGGCAACTCCATAGGGTTTTCAAGGCAAGAGACATTCAGAGGTGGTTTGTCATTGCCTGCCTCCATATTACACTCCTGGTATTCCTTGGAGGTCTCCCATCCAAATACTAGACAGGGCTGACCCTGATGCTTAGCTTCCAAGATCTGATGAGACCAGGCTAGGCTGGGCTATCCAGGTCAGGACCCCATAATGAGACTGGTTTAAAATTAATATTTTTATAAAGCTTTTAACGGGAATTTAAAAGACAAAAAAAATCAAAGTTCTGAAATGGTTAAATACGGAGTTCAACTTAGTTTAAAGAAAAATATTCAGCACAGAAGAATCTGTAGACTCATGAAAAATCTGTGTTCACAATCAAAATACATAACCTTCCCCCATCTGTCAATCAAGGATAGAAGAGAAGAAGAGACTGGATTTATACCCCACCCTTCACTACCCAAAGGTGTCTCAGAGCGGCTTACAAACTCCTTTCCCTCCCCCTCCCCACAACAGACACCCCACAACAGACACAATAGACATAGAAGGAACTTCATGAGCCATCCAGGTTAACACAATGTCATGCCACAATTCCTAGAAGACTTCCTAACCATCCCAGAAGTACTTAAAATCTGACTGCATTTGTATTTTTAAAGCCATTGTGGTTTTGCAGCTCTCTGGGTATTTTCATTTTGTGCTTAGTTTTGAAGTTCTTAACAATAATTATCTCATTTGTCACCACCTCCTCCACTGTCTTCCCTCCCGAGGTTTCATTTCAGATTCCTGTACCCCTTTGATTTCCAAACTACAAAACACCCACTGAACCCTAAAGATGGTCAGATAAACAAATCAACATATAGTGCATTCTTTGCAGTCATAAGGACTCAGCAGGCATATGTGGGTCCTTATCTGAAATCCTCATAATAATATGACCTCATAAACAAGCACATTAAATTAAATACTAAAACCACACTCTTTGAATATCTTACTTCAACTTAAACCCTCTAAAGACAAACTGAAAGATGATTTAAGCATGCAGATAACAGACACACCCATATATGTAATATATGCAACCTTTCTTCCCAGCTTCTCTTTAGGAAATTTTATTACAATTCTAAGTATCTCATGGGGGGGGGGGGTGTTTCCAGTCTCAAAGCCATGAAGACAGAATTGCCAGGGGGTAGCTAGGATTTCTTAACAAGAACCACTCTCAGCTCTGAACTGACAATCTTGCTTGCTGAATGTTAGAAAAGGTACCCTTTTTCAAGCCTGATTTGAGTCAAAGGCAATCCTAAACAGTTATGTCCTTCTAAATCCTTTGAAGTCGATGGGCTTAGAAGGAATTTTTTAATTGCTATACAAGGCTGCAATTCCATGCACACTAAAATAGAAAAGTCCTGCCAAACACAGTGGGACTTGCTTCTGTGTAATTACACATAGGATTGGGCGGTAAGGCAGGTAAGTGATTTTAAACATGCTTCCTTAATATGTCCAATTCCAGAGAGATAACCGTATTTGTAACAGCAAAAATAACGTTCTGGTACGTTAAAGGCTAAGAACAGTTTCTCCTAGTGCACAAAAGCCTGCGCTAATACAAAAATTTTGCCACAAGTCTCCTTGTTTATTAAATACCAGGACCAAAGGAATAGTGATAGTACTGGGATAATCGGTATTTGAACCCTTTATTTTGTACATCTCAAAAGGAGGAAGTCGAATTCCTTCCAGCCCCCACTCTCAGTACTGGGGGAGATGAAGTCAAGGAGCTATACAATATTGAAAGAGTCTCCTTTGGCCATTGGCTGAGGAAAGGGACCGGAACTGGGGCGGGGAGGCGAAACAAACAACTGGAAATGTCCTTGTCCTTAAAATAAATTTGAACGGTAAAAATTCGGGCTCTGCCCCTGAGATGGGTCTGGGGAGAGACAGAACGGGCAGGATTAGGCCTAGCGGGAGGACTGGCTGAGCCTCCCCTAGCCTCAATGTGTGTCCCATAGATATAGATACACACACACGCACAACAAATGCCTTCCCCGCAAAGCTGACTCCCCACCTCCTCCCCTAGACCGAGTGCGGCCTAAAGAGCCGCGGCGCTTGGGTGATCCGTCCTGCCAAGTCTCCGCACTTTCCCTCACCTGCTGGTATCGGCCGCCGCCGCCACTGCTGCTGTTGTTGGCATCAGCTGCCGCCGCCGCCGCCGCCGCCGCCATGGCGCTGGGCAGGAACGGAGGGAACGAGCTGTGGAGGGAGTCGGGTAGTGCCGGGCGCAGAAAGCTGAGAGACCGGGCGAAGGCCCCACTGGGCAGGGCTCACGCTGACTCCCTCCCCCCTCCTCCTCCACTGGGCGCCGACTTGGGGGCGGAAGGGACGACGAGGAAGGCGGCAGCCGGACGGGCCACTGGCCGCTTCCACCTATGCCACCTCAGGCTCTCTCCGCTTCGCTTCTCCTCCTCCTCCCGCCGCCGTCTCCCCCCCCCCTCCCCGTCTCCAGCCTCCTCCCTCAAGCGGCCACTCTGCGACTCCTCGCTATCGTCAACGCGGCGAGGCCTACTAGGAGAGCGATGCTGCTTTCCAGAGACAACCCCGTGGGAATGTGCGAAGGGCCGCATCGGAGGCGCACAGGGATGCCAGCCTCCAGGTGGGATCTTGGGGTCCTCTGGAATGACACCTCATCTCCAGATTACAGACATTGGTTCCCCTGGAAGAAATGGATGCTTTGGAGAGTGGACTCTGTGCCATTGTACCCCACTGAAGCTCCTGGCCTCCCCAGGCTTCATCCCCAACTCTCCAGGAATTGTCCAAAATGGATGTAGCAACCCTACCCCCCCCCATCTCCTGCTAGTGGCCAGGGAGGACCTGGAAACCCTGTAAGATGCAGGGTAGGGTCTCCTGCAAGAGCCCCTCTTTCTGATATTACATTGTTCATATGTAGCGTTTGTTGTTTTAGTTCTGCTGCGCTTGGGATTCTGTTTTCTTTAAAAAAAAACATTTTGTGGTTCCTTACAGCAAGGTGGGAAAAGACAAGGGGCATTCATAAACTGTCTCTTTTTGTATCCAGCTCCATCTTCAAGGAAGACATGCCACTTTATAGAGAGTTCACATGAAGCTGTGTTTGTACCAGATAAGACTATTGGTGTGTCAAGGTCAGTGTTGTCTACTCTGACTAGCAGGTGCTATCCAGGGTCTCAGGTGAAAGTCCTTCTCATCACCTCCTATCTGATTATTTCAGTGGAAATGCTGGGGACTGAACCTGTATACAACACAGAGACATTATACCACTGAGCCACGGCCACAGTTCATGTGCAAGGCTCCGGATTGTTGGTTTGTTTGTTTTTTAAATTTTAATCGGGTACCTGGAATCTCAAGGAGAAGCTTCTGTGCTCTGGGAATTGCATCCTGCACAACAAATGCTGTTTATGTAAGATACACAACTATTGTGTATCTTTACCATTTTCTTGCCGCCAAGCAATATAATCTATATGTCACCTCTGCTTATCATGACTAATTGCAGGTTACAGCTGCCATAATCAGAAAGCAGATACCTCAAGAAAATAACCCAAAACATCAATCCACAAGTTACAATTACAGATAAACATTTGCATGGTGAAGAAATAAAGCATTTAGAAAATATTTACCATTTTTACAGGCTATAAACAAAAGCTGACTTGGGAACAGTGCTCCCTCTAAAGCTGTGGAGTCTTGTGAGCAAATATTCTACTTTGTGAGCTACTGGCATTAAAGTTGTGAGCGAGCGATTTGGCTACTGCATAACTTAGTTTGCTCTGAAGCCATCCTCCCTGAGCTAAGACAAAAATGTGTGAGCCGGAGGCTAAAAAACTGTGAGCTAGTTCACACTAACTCAGCTCTTTTAAGCTCTCCAACTTCTGTAGCCTTCAAAAGGCTTAGGACTGCTTAGGACTGTATATGAGAAAACAAGAGCTATTACTGCTTTATTGTAGTGATTGACAGTAATGCATTCTGCCATAGCATTTGCCAATTTCCTAGTGGGAAAAACTCTTGAGGGAGTAGAACAGTAACTTTCTCATACTCCTGTCAGACTCTCTGGCTTCTTGGAGCATGAATATGTTATGCTGTGTGGTGGCGGCTACAAGCATGGACGGCTTCAAGAGGGAATTGGATAAACATATGGAGCAGAGGTCCATCAGTGGCTATTAGCCACAAGGTATAGATAGGAACTCTCAGGCTGGGGCAAATGCTTCTTGGTGCTTGGGGGGCAACAGTGGGAGGGCTTCTAGTGTCCTGGCCCCACTGCTGGACCTCCTGATGGTCTAAGAAAGGGACCAACTGCCGCTCCAGCCGAAGATGGTAAAAGGCTGACTTGGCAGTGGCTGCCACCTGGGCTTCCATCGTTAAAGAGGAGCCCAGGAGCACACCCAAACTCCTAACCTCCGATGCTGGCACCAAAGGTGCCCCATCGAAGGTCGGGAGAGGGAGCCCCAACCCCAAACCGCTCCAACTCAGACCCAGGACCTCCGTCTTTGCTGGGTTTAGTTTCAGCCAACCAGCCACGGCCTGTAACGCCCAATGAAGGTCATCCGGGGTGGAATCCGACTGGCCACCCAACATCAGATAGAGCTGGGTGTCATCTGCATATTGATGGCACCCAAGCCCACAACTCTGGGCGATCTGGGCAAGGGGGCGCATGTAGATGTTAAACAACATCGGCGACAGCACCGCCTCTGAGGCACCCCACATTCAAGAGGCCACCTCTGGAACTGCTGATCACCTATCGCCACCCTTTGTCCCCGACCTTGGAGAAAAGAGGCAAACCATTGAAGGGCAAGCCCCTGAATCCCCATATCGGCAAGGCGGTGGGCCAGCAACTGGTGGTCGACTGCGGACAGATCTAACAGCAACAGTGCCGCCACACCACCTCAATCCAGATGCCTACAGAGGTCGTCAGTCAGAGCGACCAGCTCTGACTGTATGATGAAACTGTAGGAAAAGAAATAAAACCTCCAGGATCCCTGGCCAATCTGGCCTTGGAGGAAAATTCCTTCCTGGCCCCCAAGTGGCAATCACCATTGCCCTGGGCACGTAAGAAAGGTTCTACAGACAGAAGAACTGTTAGATTCCAGTGCAGTAGCGCCTTAGAGACCGACCAACAAGAGTTCCAGGCAAGTTCTGTGAACTCAGATTGTCCACTCAAATCCAGGGGTGCAGGAGCTGCACAGGAGCCGAGCTCCAGGGGGCGGGCACATGCAACAAGCTCCGCCCCCTGCTCCCAGCAGCCCTCAGTCAGAGCTAGAAGCAGCCAGGTAAGTTGCAGAGCTCCCCTGGCCCAAAACAGTCCAGTGGCACCTTTAAGACCAAGTCTTATTCAGGTACAAGCTCTCTCTGCAAGGACAGATCTGCGCATCCCCCCCCCCCATAGCTAGCAATCCAAAAGAGTCCAGTGGAGCCTGAGCGGTGGGTATTGTCTTCTGACACACTTCCTGCGATGTCAGGGGGTGTGTCATATGCAAATGAGTTATGCTAATGAGCTCCTGCACCTCTTTTTCTACAAAATGACCCCTGCTCAAATCTAACTCAACTATAACAGAAGAAGGTGGCAGACCTTCCTTAGCTTTCAAGCTCTGGCTAGCCTGGGCTAAACAGGCTGCTTAACAACAAAAAGACCTTGATTTAATTTGCGGGAGAAAAGAAAAACAAGTCCTTCAGTTTACAACTCGGCGGAAGTGCCTCTGGAAGCAGCGGAGCGATCAGTCTGGAAATAAGTGTTTCCGGGGTCCAAATTAGAGCCGAGTCCAGGAGCAAGGGGCGCAGCGGCGAGGAGGAGGGTTGCTCGTTTGTTCCGCTCTTCTGATAAACGGACTCTCTGCCGCTCACGTGATCGAATGAGCTCGGCCGGTAGGCGTGTCGCAGCAGAGGACCGTCTGAAGTTGCAGCCCGGCGGTGAGTTCTGCACGGGATCTTGCGGACTGCGGGATTCGAACAAGAGTTGGGCTATACGTTGGTCTTAGGCGTTACTCTCTGCCTCCACAGAAGTGATAAATGCTCTGTGGAGTGCTGAACGGTGCGTGGCGTTTTGAGCTTGAATCCTTAGCCTGTTGCTAAAGGTTCGCTCATTTGCTTCGTTTAGTTATGTATGGAACGGTTCGCTTTTTCTTTCCTGGATTGGTCTAGCTGTGTTTAGAACCTTATCTGCATTTCCAATGTATTTGAAAAAGTGTGCCTTCCACACGAAAGTTCATGCCTTGAATAAACCTTTGTTGGTCTTAAAGATGGCACTGGACTCTAAATTTGTTCATTCCTGGATTGTGAAACTTCCCTTTCCTGTTTTTCCACCGCTGATTTTGTATTTAGTTTTTGGTCTTGTATCCCTGTACAGTTTAAATTACGTTGTTCACGCTTGTGTCGTTGGCTTCTATTAGGAATGTCAGGGAGATTGTCCAAGGTCCATTTAACCTTTTCGTCAACGTCCCCTACTTGGAATTAGAGTGCCTAGAAAGACACTGTCTTTTTAACTCATACACCGAGGGGTGAAATGTGTGTGCCTAATCTGTGATAGTGTAGAGGACAAATATGTGCTGCTGACTGCATCTGTCGCTGTAAAGATGTTTGCAGTCTACTGTTTTCCTCTGCTGCTCCAAGACTGTCAGGGGCTATGGTGAAAAGGAATAGTGACTAGGGCTGAGAGAACCTACATCCTTGCATTTGGTGTTCACTTGGTGGTCTCAGGATGGATTGAGAGAGTACAATTTGTCCATTTCCTGGGATGATAAAGTGGGATAAACCCCATGCATGCTGAGTTTCCTTCTGAGGGTGTGACCAGTAGCATGTGGCAAAGGGGTGTTTAATCGAGTGGTGAAAACCAGTGAGGATTGTGAGGCACTCCAAAGGGATCTGTCAAGGATGGGCGAGTGGGCGTCAACATGGCAGATGGGGTTCAATGTGGCCAAGTGCAAGGTGATGCACATTGGAGCCAAAAATCCTAACTATAAATACACATTGATGGGGTCTGAACTGGCAGAGACTGATCAAGAGAGAGATCTTGGAGTTGTAGTAGATAACTCACTGAAAATGTCGAGACAGTGTGTGACTGCAATAAAAAAGGCCAATGCTATGCTGGGGATTATTAGGAAGGGTACTGAAAACAGATCAGCCAATATCATAATGCCCCTATATAAATCAATGGTGCGACCTCATTTGGAATACTGTGTGCAGTTCTGGTCACCACACCTTAAAAAGAATATTATAGGTTTGGAAAAAGTGCAGAAAAGAGCAACTCGAATGATTAAAGGGTTGGAACACTTTCCCTATGAGGAAAGGTTAAAGCGCTTAGGGCTCTTTAGCTTGGAGAAACGATGACTGAGGGGTGACATGATCGAGGTTTATGCATGGGAAAGAGCAGGTAGAGAAAGAGGTACTTTTCTCCCTTTCTCACAGTACAAGAACTCGTGGGCACTCCATGAAACTGCTGAGCGGTTGGGTTAGAACGGATAAAAGGAAGTACTTCTTCACCAAAGAGTGATTAACACATGGAATTCACTGCCACAGGAAGTTGTGGCGGCTACAAGCATGGACAACTTCAAAAGGGAATTAGATAGGACGTCCTTCTTCACCCAAAGAGTGATTAACACTTGGAATTCACTGCCACAGGAAGTGGTGGGTGCTACAAGCATGGATGGCTTCAAAAGGGAATTAGATAAGCATATGGAGCAGAGGTCCATCAGTGGCTATTAGCCACAAGGTATAGCTAGGGGCTCTGGGGCAAGTGATGCTCTGTCTTCTTGGTGCTTGGGGGGGGGTCAACAGTGGGAGGGCTTCTAATGTCCTGGCCCCACTGCTGGACCTCCTGATGGCACTGGTATTTCTGGCCACTGTGTGACACAGAGTGTTGGACTGGATGGGCCTTTGGCCTGATCCAACATTGGCGTCTCTTATGTTCTTAAATGCAAAAGCCTCTTGCTGGAAATGCCAGCCCAGCGAGTTCTGCCCCTAGACAGGACACAATTACAGATCTCCAAAGGATGCTGAATGAGGCGTTGTGACCTCTGCTGGAACAGGTCACGCTTTGTAATGGTCTGCTCTGTTTTAAGTTTTTATGCTGTTTATGACTAATGGCTTATGCTTTATACTGGGATTTCTAAATGTAACCTGCCTTGAGCAGGACTCTGAAGAGGCAGCATAGAAATATTCTAAATAAGTAAATAATAAAGTCCAATATATGCTCAAATAAGATTAACCATTTGTGCGAAGAAATTCTACAAATTTAATAGCTGTGCAATCCTAAACAGAGTTGTGCTCTTTTAAGCTCTCCAACTTCTGTAGCATTCAAAAGGCTTAGGACTTTAAACTTTTGTTGAAAATGATCATCTATCTAATTAAACATAAGTGCTTCATCAGCATTTCTAATTTCATAAAAGGATTGTAGAACGATATACAATAAACTTCTTTTTAGGTATTCCAGAGCACATTGACTATTTTTTCCCCTTTCTGTGTCTCAACTGATAGCCTTGTTTAGGACCCACCCACCCCAATTTAGAGTCAGAGTCTTCCTCAGAGGATCCAGCCTCTCCTTCTTCCTCGCTCTCTTTGGCGTCATCGGTCGCACCTTCTCCTGTTGGACTGCTATGTTGATGCAAAAATTCACAAGCCTTTTCAATAGAGTCAATCCTTTCTTTACCATTTGCATATCTGAACATTAGTCCCTCGGGTGTTAACCATCTGTAGGCAACATCATGCTTTTGTAGAAATAGAGCCAAGTCTCTATATTTCCTTCTTATCTCAAATGGAACATCTTTCAGTATTCTTATATCTTTGTCTTTTATCTTTAAGGTAGCTCCATTTCTTCGAGAGAATCTAATTGTAACTTCCCCTGGCAGATTATTCTTTCTAATAAATTCTGAACACGATCTGTTGACCGTATCTATTTCGCTTTGAAGTTGATCCGATGTCATCTCTGCCATGGGCGCAAGAGCGTCACCGACAATCTGTCTCAGATTCTCTCCTTCCTCTTCCTGGATACGTTGAAGTCTCAAGATTTTTGGCATGTTTGCAGCCATTTGCACTTGTTGTGTGTCCAGCTTGTTGTCAATTGCCGTAATTTTCTCCAGCAGAAGGCGAACTGCTTCCGACAAGAGCCTTTGAAGTTCCACTGTTGAGTCCTGTCTAGGAATAGAACTCGCAGGGCTGGAACTTCCGGGAAGAAGCTTTGCTTTCGCTTGTTTATCTCTAGAGTCCTTCACCGTCGGCGGCGCCATGTTTGAGAATTGTTTACTTTTATCAAAAGTTTGTCAAAGTCTCTGGAAGTTCTTTTCTAACGTGGTAAGCTCTTACCGTCTCTTTATTTTATTCCAGTCGCTTTTTGTAGAAACCCCCCCCTGTAGCTAAAATCGCCTGTAAACAGTTCTTAGTGGAGAAGAGTCCCCTCCCCCTCTCATTTTCTTTCAGGAGAGCCATGCGCTTTTTCGCTTTCTCGCTTGTACTTAAACTCACATTTTCAACGATTGCCTGCTTGTGTCTAGTATCGCTTGATCACCAAACGCTTGCTCCGGTGTGCTGATCTTGTTCCCATACAGGACGCTCCACAGTGGGACCGTTGGGGCTTGGAGTAGCTCCCCCTCGCCAGCTTTTCTCGCCGGGGGGGGAGCTCTCTAGCGCCCCATGGCTGGGAGCCCTTCTCCCAGACTCCTGGGGTGGCATGGACAGTCACGCCCCCTCCCAGCCATGGGTGCTGGCAGGCTTCTCCCGGAGGTCCAGGAGAAGGCTACTGCCATGGTGATTGCCAAAACCGGAAACCCGGACAAGTAGTTTTTGATGTCGTCCCCCCCCCCCCCGCATTGTGAGAAGTTATTTATGAAGGAGTACATAACATGCGTTTCACCAGGATACTATGTTGAAAATATGTCTTTCTCAACAGGTGCTCCTTTCTTGACCCTTGCTTCCAGTTTCTTTTTTGCATCTCCTCATTTCAGCCAGTTGTGCTGCCCTTTGTCACGTTCAGAAGACATGCCCAAAGTGAGAGTGGGATTAATAGCCAGTAAAAAGCAAGCCTTCTCTCCCACCCCATTCTTTCAAACAGCAGTGTTAGGTGCTTACCCATTGCAAGGGAAGGAGCCCTTCTTCTTGCAGGCTGGTCTGCTTGCAACTAAGCACCCCACGTGCTGCATGTAATGCCTGCCTGCCTACAAGTGGTTTTTCTGGTAAGAGATCCAGACCTCTGTTGTAGGTAATAAACTTGTAATGCTGTGATAGCCCTCATGATATCTGGACAGGAGTGGACTTTCAAACTGAAAGTTTGCTCAGAGGATCATGACGTTATTGAATGATATGCTTAGTGAAGTTGCCGCTGTCTGCAAAGCATGCTTTGAAATGCTAGTTTCTGTAGTGCCTGAACAAGGATTCATACAACTAGCCAACAGTGAAATCTGTGAACTCTGAAAGTTGTAGACTCTACAATGTAGAGGGCTCATAAATCTTCCTACAGGTGAGAGCTGCAAAGAGGAGGGAGAAAAGCACAAAAAGGTCATGCTGTTTGGTGTAGTGGTTTAGAGTGTTCTAGAGCCAGTTTGGTGTAGTGGTTAGGAGTGCGGACTCTAATCTGGGAGAACTGGGTTTGATTCCCCACTCCTCCACATGCAGCTGCTGGTGTGACCTTGGGTCAGTCACAAGTTCTTTCAGAGCTGTTCTCTCAAGGGCAGTTCTTGAAAGAGCTCTCTCAGTCCCACGTACCTCACAGGGTGTCTGTTGTGGAGAGGGGAAGGGAAAGGAGATTGTAAGCCACTCTGAGACTTCTTCGGGTAGTGAAGGGCGGTGTATAAATCCAATCTCTTCTTTTTTGTTGTAGTTGATGAATTGACTTGTTAGATAGAAAGCCTTCTAGAGATGGGAACTGGTTGCTTTTCTCAGCTGCAAAACTGCTGTTCTGTATCCTGAGCTTTTCAAATAGATCATGGCTGTATATCAAAACCCAGAAATATGAATGCATTATAGTTCAAATTGCCCTTTTCACATGCTCCATATATTAGCTGGCTTTCCTTACCTGAAGGTACCCCAAAGCTAGCTCCTTGAGAATAGCCATTTCCTGCTAAGTATTTTGGAACAGAATACCATCTAGGTAGTGGTATTGTGAGTCAGCAATACTTAAGTTGGTGTGAACTTACCAAACCTCCTCCTCTTTATTTCCTCCTTACTCCAGTCATGCAGTATGGTAATGAAGACCTTTTTTCAAACTTGCAGGTTACAATGAAACTCATCATTTTAGAGAACTATTCTCAAGCCAGTGAATGGGCTGCAAAATACATTAGGAATCGGATCATCCAGTTTAACCCTGGTCCAAGCAAATACTTCACTCTTGGGCTTCCCACTGGTAAGTTACAAACCAGATCACAGGGCTTTGTGGTAGGTGCCACCTCAGTTCTGACTCGATATTTAAGATGTTTTTACTCAGCTTGAGTATTTGGCCAACAAACAAGGCATGGCAACTTCTGCATGGTGTTTGCTACCACTTATTGGAATCCCGAGGGTTGTATCTGGTGCGAGGACAGTGTGAGGATCACTGAACTTCCAGGTTCTTCCTTCCTCCCAGCAGCCATTTCTGATATTGGGAAAGCTACTCTCAGCGCAGTGGGATCCATCTGGAGTAATCGCTCCCTCCTTCCTCTTCTTTCAGTGGATCTCCATGCACAGAAGTGGCAGGAAAAACCCATTTTGCCTCATTCTTCTCTACTCTGTAGACCTCCAAACTCTCATGACTATTACTCCATGAGTGTTTCACAGTCACAGAACTTGCCTGGTGTCAGAAATGGTTGCTGGGAGAGGGAGGAAGAGCCAAGAAGACCCAACAGTCATCAGAGCTTTCCGCTGATGGATTGCAGGATCCAAATCATTGGCCTGTTTAGAAAGCATTGGTGTGTATAAAATTAAACTTCTACCCTATTCAGTAACACTTTATAAGCTTGGGGTCAAACCACATTTGATGTGGCATCCATATGTATCTTTTTCATATACCCAACCTGTTAACCTTCTTTCTTTCTTTAACAATCCAATGACCCAGTGATCTTGGACAGAACCAATTGTACAAATACCATCCTCGCATAGAAGCCACAGCTGCCAGAAATTTAACCACAGAACAGAGAGAATAAGGGAACCACATATATCAAAAGAGAACAACCGTGATAACCTAACTAATTAACAATTCCTTTTTTTTAACAGTCTCCTTATTGGGTTTTCCAAAAAAAATAAACACTAAAGAAACAAAGAAAAATTGCACCTACAACATAATATTCCAACAATAATATCAATTAAATATTTTCCTTCATTTTAACACAATAACTTTAATGATAATTACACACTTGTTTTCTGTAGATATAATAACCTGAGAACTATAATCTGGCCATAAAGAGCGAAGTCGTCGGCATTAACTTTTTTCCATGATCATACCTAAATATTATTACTATTATTCTTCCACTAAAGTTGTACCATAACACCACGCAAAGCAATATTTGTTTTCTTACTTATTTGGTTTACCAAAAATTATAACAAAATAACTTGAACAAATACATTCCTTCTTTTCTATTCAGATAATTTCATATTTTCTATTATGGTCCTTCCTCTGTTCTTGACTTATTATTTCTTCAACAATATTTTAACAATGTTTTGTAACTACATTATAACAAAAAAATACAAATAAGGGAAATAACTAAAAATAGCAACCACTAAAATGTCATTTCTCCAGTTTTTCTATTCCCTTAGTATCCCAAAAACAGATTAATTATAACTTCTCTTGTATTATTTTATCACTTAAAAGTAACCTTCTATTCAGGTATTTCCAAACTTCTTTTTTCTTTCCCTCCTACACTATCTACTTTTTAAGTACTTATGTATTAGCGTTACTAATATTTAAACATTTTATAGCCACAGATTAAATTACATAGGTGGAAATAGGATTCGTGATTAACCACAGCAATCCAATACCCAACAAAATAAAATACCCAAGCGCCATTCTCATTTACCCTCATCTCATTCTGGTAGGAGTCTCTTCGTTTCTTCCACATATTCTTATATCAACAAAAGTGGTTATTCTACAGCATAATACCATCTCTTTTATTATTTTATCCCTTAAAAATAGCCTTCTATTCAGATAATTTCATACTTCTTATTAAGTGCCTAAGTATTAACCTTACTGGTATTTCCCAACTAAAATTTTTTAAAAATATGTTTTATAGCCACAGATTAAATTCATTGGTTACATAAGTGAAAATAAAATTGATAATTAAGAACAGCAATTCATTATCCAACAACAAGAAAAAAAACCCTAAGCACCATTCTCCCTTCCCTTCATTTCTTCCATTATACCAGCAAAAGTTTATTCTACAGCATAATACACTTTGCTTATTTTTTTTTGTTTTCAGCAACACTTCTTTTTTTTTTTTTACAATCGTATTTAAATGCCTTATCTCTTTATTTTCAAAGAGTTCCATTTCTCTAGGTTGGCATCTCTGTATCTTTGGGCCAAACCTCAATTTTCTGCTGCGTCTTTTGCTTTTTTTCGCTATACGTCTTGCTTTTTTCTTAGCCTCCTTCATCATTTCTATATATAAACGTTTTTGGGGTCCTCCTTTGGCCACCAAAGAGTGACTTAAAGAGCTCTTTAACTCATATCCTTGGCTCCCCCTCCCTTTTTTCTATAGGTAAAGAAAATACATCCTGTTGTACCTTCTCTTCGGGAGTGTCTCGACTGCAAATTAGCTCCTCTTCCTTTCTCTGTTGCGACTGCCATGTCTCCTCTTCCTCTCTCACATCCTGATACAAACTTCGAGTGTTTTCCAGAAACCTTTTACATGTTGTTTCGACTGCTTGCTGAATCTCGTCCCGAATATTTTTTTTATTGCTCTATAGTAAGCTGTCCTATTACAATATTATCAAAATCTTCTTATTCCTCGTTTCCCCCTATTAGCGCGTCTTCTTTCTCTCCCGCCGGCACCATTTTAGTCTATCATTCAGCTAAAATCCGTCTCAATAGTCATTGGTCATTTATATTTCTAGCGTCTTTATCCAAAGTAGTATTGCCATATTACGGTGTCAAAAAATTAAAGTCCCAACAAATGAATTCTCATGCCCCCATACAATTTTCATTTACCTTTTGCTCCGTCCCTCTTCTTAGCCGCTTTTACTTTTCTTTCAGGGATGAATATATTCCTGGGGGTTCTTTTTAATAAAGTTTTCCGCCAGTTAATAACTTGGTATGCACGGATTCACCTTCTTGCCTTCGTTATTGTGTTTTATGTTGTAAATCCAATATATTTTTTTAAAAGGGTGATCATAGCTAATGCAGTCATGGTGGCCATGCTGCTCCTTATCTTGCTCCCGCTTGTGAGGCAAATCGGTCTCTCTCTGCTTTCCACCGATTGCGGGGTAACTGGTTGAGCCTCCTGCATCCGCACCTCCCTCCAGGAGGTCCGGTGGAACCCCGGTGGTCACAAGGACCCGGGGGGGGGGCTCCTAAAAAGCAAAAAAGGATGGGGACAGTCGGGAGTGTCCCGGCTAGTCGCCCGGCTACGCCATTGCCTGGAAGTCCAACAATTCTTGTTATATTTAAATGAACAGTGCATTACATATAACATGAAAAATTGTATTACAAACTTGTTTCTTCTTCACATAAGGACTGAAATTCCCATTATTGAATTCTTTAAAGGTTTTGAACTGTATGTTAGAAACCAGTTTGTAATACAATTTTTCACGTTATATGTAATGCACTGTTCATTTAAATATAACAGAATTGTTAATTAGTTAGGTTATCACGGTTGTTCTCTTTAGAAATTTAGCCACAGCCAAAGTACTATCAGGATCAGTTAGCAGGAAAGATCACCTTGTTAATATGTAAAATGCTGTCAATGATCTAGTTTTGTTTATTTAAAACATTTTTATGCTGCTTTTCCATCCAAATTAGGGTCCCCAAAGTGGCGAACAATTAAACATTAAAACACTTGAAATTATATAGTTACATAATTTTAAGTAATGGTTAACAAAAAACATAGAAAATGAAGCACATGGGTAAAGAATTCAAAATAGCCCAGTTCCAGTACTGCAGTGAGCAACAGAGTGTAATAAAAGCTAGAAGAGGAGCAGGATTTAGCTCACCCATCTGCCACTCTGAACAAATGAACAGGAGGATATGTGAATCATGATCAAGGATGCCCCTGCCCTTGTCATGTTAAATTTGGCTCATTTGATAAAATTTGACTAGTGTATAAATGCACCACAGCCATTATCTTGTCCTGATTTAAATGCTGCACACGTTACCCCAGATGGGATAAACTCTACAGATCCTGAAGCTGATTTTTTGCTGTGTAAAGCAGGAAAATAGGGTGCAGGAAGATGGTGGATGATGAATGATCTCCTTTCAGCATGTCGGCAAATTGCCCTCCTTGCCTAAGATAAAGGTTTATTTCAGTTCAGTTCAAAGTTTATTTCAGTACAAGATCAGTAATAATAAGGATATGGATAAAAATAATAAAATAAAATAAAAATATAGATTAAATAAAAGATTGAGTGCTGATTGTGAGAGGACGGAGACAAGGAGGTTTCTTTTCAGATCACATAAATTTTGCGCCCTCCTTGCCTAGTTCCTTATATTCATCGTAGCTACAGTCATTGCAATAGTATGCAGGTAGAGGGAACTAAATGTTACAGAAAGGATGAATAGCCTCATGTTGCCCCCCCCCCCCAATACCTATTTCACTTTGATGTGAGGGCAGGCATTTTTCTTGTTCCTGTTCAATATCATGGTCTGTTAGGAAAATGTGCATTGGGACACAGGGCATGTTTAGTTTAAACACAAAGTATTGTAAATTCGGTTTTCTAGATGCTTGTTGCCATTCGGGGAGGTTTTTGAGTTGAGACGTAGGATTAAATAAAATCAGTAGTAGACAACACAACAAGGGGTGTTCGATAACAAGGCTGCTGTTTTTGGTGGCAGCCCCTGGTTCATTTTTACCCAAATACAACACTGGCTTGATATACTTGGTAAATTTTGTTAATGAGGATATCAAGAGAGAAAGGAAGGCTGTCTTGGATCATCACTGTCTTTTCAAGACCTCCCAGTGATGGAAATTCCAGCCTATTCCAAGGTAGCTTGTTTAAGTAAACCAACTACTCTTCCAATTAGAGTGACCACGTGAAGGAAACAATCTGTTTCTTACTTGGCTCATTAAGCTTCTGTTATCCATTGTCCCAAAATCACTCTCTGATAGGCGTATTACCCTATTGACAGAAAGCAAAGATTAGGAATCAATGGACAGTTCTCACAATGGAGGGAAGTAAGCAGTGGGGTCCCACAAGTATCAATATTGGGGCTGGTACTTTTTAATTTATTCATCAGTTATCTGGAACTAGGGCTGAGTAGGGTAGTGGTCAAGTTTGCAGATGACACCAAATTATTCAGGATGGTGAAAACCAAGGCTGACTGTGAGGGGCTCCAAGAGGACCTCCACAAACTGGGTGAGTGGGCAGCAATGTGGCAAATGAAGTTCAGTGTTGGTAAGTGTCAGGTGATGCACATTGGGACAAAAAAATCCCAGCTTCAAGTATAGGCTAATGGGGTCTGAACTTGCTGAGGCTGAGGGAGAAAAAGATCTTGGAGTTGTAGCGGATAGCTCAGTGAAAGTGTAAACCCAGTGTGCTGCAGCAGTGAAAAAGGCAAACTCTATGTTAGGGATTATTAGGAAAGGGAGTGAAAATAAAACAGCTAATATTGTAATACCCCTGTATAGATCTGTGATGCAGCCTCATTTCGAATACTGGAAAAGGTTCAGAGGACATCAGCCAAGATGATTAGGGGGTGGAGCACCTTCTCTAAGAGGAAAGGCTGAAGAGTCTGGGACTTTTCAGTTTAGAAAACAGACAACTAAAGGGAGGGGGCATGATATTTATAAAATTATGCATGGGGTAGAGAGAGTTGACAAAGAAAACTTTTTCTCCCTCTCCCAAAATACTGGAACTTGAAGGCATCCCATGAAACTGTTGGGCAGTAGTTTCAGGACAGACAAAAGGAAAGACCACTTTACACAGAGAGTGATTAAAATGTGGAATTCGCTGCCAGAGGATGTAGTGATGGCCACAGGAATAAACAGCTTTAAAAGGGGATTAGATAGATTCATGGAGGATGTCTATCAATGGCTACTGGCCATGGTGGCTGAGGGGAACCTCCACATTCACAGGCACTAAGCCTCTAAATTCCAGAGCCAGGAGGCAACACCAGGGGAAGGCCTTGGCCTCTATGCCCTGCTGTTGGTCTTCCAGAGGAACTGGTTGGCCACTGTGTGAGACAGGATGCTGGACTAGATGGACTATTGGTCTGATCCAACAGAGCTCTTCTTATGTTTTTATTGTACACATGAGAAGTCTGGCTTAATTATCTGTATTTGCTGGTACTTGGGGGACTATTGTACTGATACCAACAGAAAACACTTCAGGGAGAAACCTTTTAAAACCAGAGTGCCAGTATAGTCTTGCAGAGAATGGCAAAGATCTGTCTGGTGTGCAGTCAGGCAGACGGAACTGGACTTAAAGCTGCATGAGGTTGGGTATGCATTTGAGCCATTTTTCTGTTCTATATGACTCTTATCAATGCATGTCACTGTATTGTACAGAAGGTCTCATGGGGGGTACTCTGCTTTTTTTCATCCAGGAAGTACTCCACTAGGGTGCTACAAAAAGCTAATAGAATATTTCAAGAATGGAGATCTTTCTTTCAAATATGTGAAAACCTTCAATATGGATGAATATGTAGGTGAGTTGTTTTATGTTAAGAACTGCAGGGGGAAGAAATAATTACAGTTCTGTGCCCTCACATTTAATTTGGTTGCTTTAAATAACTAGACTGTAACTCTGTATTGTAGTGCAGAGACTCAGCTGGAATCTTGATGAATCTGGTTCTTCCATTGCGTCTTCTAAGTAATTTTGTCTGCTTTAGTCCCCCATCTGCAGCGTGGGGATATTATTGACTTCCCTTTTCCAGGAAGTTGTAAGGATTGCTGAGGTAAAGAATTATGTCTCATGGAAAAAATTTGCTAATGGGTGGGTGGGGGAGTTTTTACTGATTCCCCTTTCTTACTACAGTCATCGGACTCCCCCCTCATGCTTTTCCTGGATACCCCTGTCCCCCAGGAGCAACCTTTTTAGGATCACTTCGGGCTGCAGGAGCTGCGGTGGCTCAAGTTGTTAAGACGCTGAACTGCAGGCTGTGGAAGGTCGGTAGTTCAGCAGTTTGAGACCCGGGTGCCGCATGACGGAGTGAGCTCCCGTCTCTAGTTCCAGCTCCTGCCAACCTAGCCGTTCGAAAGCAAGAAATTGCAAGTAGATAAATAGGTACCACTTCAGTGGGAAGGTAACAGCGTTCCGTGCGCCTAGGTGTTTAGTCATGCTGGCCACATGATCACGGAAACGTCTGCGAACAGCGCTGGCTCTTCGGCTTTGAAACGGAGATGAGCACCGCAACCCTAGAGTCGGATTTGACTGGCTTTCGAGCAAGGGAACCTTTACCTTTACCTTTACCTTTGGGCTGCAGTGAGGTAGCGGGAAACATTAACATCTCAGGGGACAGCTGTGCATCTTGTCTGGTTCTCTGTGCAGGGACTTCTTCTCCCTATCGGTGCTTGTACAACCTGGCTTGCTGGTGATTAGAAACTGAGCACTGTAGAGTTACTCTGTTCTTCTTTGGCCCGGTCACACGGAGCATTAAGCACGCTAGAGAGACGGAAGATAGGCGGATTTTCCGGGTGTGATCTCACCGCCACATCTGGGAAGCGTAGAGCTCCCGTGGCTCACCCGAGGCTTCACGCCGAAGTTGCGCTGCAAAAAACTAGTACCTCCGAGGTACTAGTTTCCAGAAACCGCGGGGCAAGGGCAGGCGTCAGATCACGTTTCCAGTGTTAGCTCGTGGCATCCGGCGCCTGCCCATGTCCCGTCGCGAAAAGGTTTTTTTTGGTCAAGTCTCCATGGGTGCGCACAAGCACACAACCCGCGCGGCGCCACTTTGCCGCGCCGCAGAAGTGAAGTATGATCGGCACCTCCCCCCAACCACGGGACGTTGGCGGGATGTCGGGCAGGACGTTTGATCCGGCTGCCGTGCGGTAGTTCACTCCGGGGCAAACAGCCACGCCTCCCCCCCGCGATATCCGGCCCGTGTGACCGGGGCCTTTGAGTAGCTTTTTAGAAAGGTTCCTGAGTTGGAAGTGCCGTCCAGTTTAGGGTACTGCAGTCAGTTGAGGAATGTGGAGTTAATTTTTTGTACTTAATGTTTTTACCTTACAAAATGAAGTGTATATACAAAAACTACAACTGAAATAAAGACATACAACAGGTTCCCTGAACACCCTTCAAGCAGTCACAAGGGTCATTCTATGCTGGTGTTGGTTCTTCCAGCATGACTCACACCGGGGGGGGGGCATGGTTGCCAGCACCTCTGACCACGTCCAGATACCTACAAAAAATAAAAGGGCAGAGGCTCCATCTAACCATCTTTCAGCTGGCTCATGTGTGCCTGATTTCCTCCCCTCCTCATGCTTCTCACCAAGCTCCAAATACCTACAAAAAGGTTTGCCAAACAGCAAACTTGTGCTTGCTGTGTAGACAGGTCAGCCAAGGGACGGCATTATACAAGTAACCTGATAGAGACGTTATTATTAAAAATGTCTAGCTCAACTTCTAAGCAACAACAGATTCTTCAAACTAGCTCAAGATCTTAAACTTCAAAGGTGGTGGTGGAGGAAATTAAACAAAACACAGCATAGTTTGGAAGTGATGAGGTTTTACAGGATTATATCACAAGATTTTGGTCCCCATGGCTTGTTTCAGTGGCTTGTAGTTTTTATATTGATGATTTATTTTAAATCATAAACCACCTCAAGCAAGACTCTGAAGAAGTGCCATAGTAATCTCTTAAATAAATACATATTTCCCTTTTCAGCTGGAAGAGCTGAGTTCAAGGGTGATACACAAATCTGTGCCTGCATGCTCTTGTGCTGAATTGGGGAAACACAGTCGGAGTCCAACGAGCTAGATGAATATCAGTTTAATGCATTGAAACTGAGAATACAGGACTGAAGGCCTTAGCACCTCAGCAGTTCCAAAGTTGTATTCTGCCATAACTAGGAAGGGCAGAAGGTCTTATACCCCAGATGACATCACATATAGTTTATACATTAAAGAATCTCTCATTGGTACCAAGCAGTTAACATCATATAAGCATCATTTGACTCAGTGCATCTCTCAGTGGTGTCAGTAATTACACTTGTTTATCTTGTCTTCAGAACTTTGGGCACATTAAAGAACACTGGGTCCATGACTGGGCTTGCATGGGGAGAGCTAGCTGATAAGGGCTGTGAATCATATTGAACTTTGATCTCGGCGGCCTTGCAGCTTCTAAATAACATTCCATTCTTTTTGCATCCTAATTCTATCCCCAAAGGCCTCTAATAATACTTTTTCCTTAATATATAGCTTTATATACAAAAGGTACAGTTATAAAATATATTCTACTATAAGCTTCTCTAATCAGAAAATTCTAGGTTACATACCAAGATCTGGATCTATTATAATTAAATTTTTGAAGGCACAGTAAAGATAAACATGTCAGAGGAAATATCAGAATCCACATTCAGAAATCACATTAATTTTTCCCTTGTCCTACAAGGGGGAGGAGTGGGGAGGTGATGGAGTAAAGAAGAGACTTTGGGGCAGAGGACAGGGATGTAGAATGGGAGCTAGCAATGATAGGCATGCAGAAAACCAGGAGCTTGAAAAGGTGGTAGAGAAATTGAGACAGGGGATGTTAGAAATTGGGCTGGCAGGGGGCAAAGTGAGTGGATAAGGGGAAGCAGGCAGAGGGAAGCAGAGGTGGAGAAAGGAAGTTCCCCTTTCAGATGAGTTTGTGGGTACCACACTTGTACTAGTCATAGTAACTGTGAGCTTTCTTACTTCAACAGGCCTTCCAAGGGATCACCCAGAAAGCTACCATTCCTTTATGTGGAACAACTTTTTCAAGCACATTGACATCTCCGCTGAAAACACTCACATTCTGGATGGAAATGCTGCTGACCTGCAAGCAGAGTGTGAGGCTTTTGAAGCAAAAATCAAGGCAGCCGGAGGAATTGAACTCTTTGTTGGAGGTGAACTTCTGAAAGAGTGGGGAAGAAGGGTGAGGTTGCACATGTGTGCTCATCGCTCTGTCACCGGAACATGTGTGCCATCCAAGATCAGTCACCCCCACATTCAAAGCCCCACTAAAATATTTTGCAGTGAGGGCAATTTATGTTAAACTGCAAGAAGAGTGAATAAGTCAAGAGAAGCTAAAGAAAGTTATGTGTATGCGTAGAACAGATTTAGGATATTTAATAGGAAAATTGGTGTGTTGTTTGCTGTAACTGTATGGCAAACCTATTCAAATACACAGAACAACAATCACTTACTAGGCATACAACTTCACCCTATTCCTGTTTACTGCTGAATAAGCCTTATGGGTTCATGAGGCTTGCTTCTAAGTGTGTAGGATTGCACATCTTTTGTAACTTATTAGTGCTGTGCATGTCTAGTAGTTTTTGGAGCATGAAATGTTTTTAGTAGGTGAAATTCTCCAATTACTCATGGTAAATTCCTTTAAAACTGAGGGGGTGTGAGCTGAAGCTGCTTCTGAGATACCAGTCTATGTAAATATTGTGACTACATTTTAAATCCGTCTTGTGAACTGGACCTGATACGGGGGAAGAACAGGTTCTCCAACCCAGCCATGGCCTCTCGTCTGATCCTGCATGCCGAAGAAAAGTTCATGACTTGTGACACTTCCTGAAGTAGGATGGAAAAAGTCTGGTACATATACTTGTGGAACAGGAAGCAATGTGATCTTGAAGTAGTGGGCGGGGAGAAGGCATTGTTTGGTGATTGTCATGGGACAAGATTCAAGCTAGGAGACTGGGGAAAAGCCCATTAAATTAAATTAAATCCATGGAGGCACACTGAACAGGAAGTTAGAGAGCTTACTTGAATTTGAAAGAAGCTTATGTTGTTAGCTGCTTAGCCCAGTCTATGGTTGGATAAAAATCTACCAGTCTAACTTTAGTTAGAAACCCATGTCTTTTTGCTGAAAATTTCTGCTGAAGTTTACCCCTTCTGCACCCAGTCCAGTTCTTCCTTGATGTTCTAAAGATGGTACCATTCCTCTTTCAGGCAGTTCCTGAAAGTGGATGCTCTTTTCCTAAATGTCTGTGTATGGAAGGTGAGCAAATGTACACAAGAATGGTTCATGACAAAAGGCACACTTGCAACCCTTCCTGTTACGGTTATGTGCTCATTGTGCTTAAGCTGATGTAATGTTGGATTTCCTTGAACTGTCTCCATTACAGGTATTGGTCCAGATGGTCATATTGCCTTCAATGAACCTGGCTCAAGTCTGGTGTCCAGAACTAGAGTGAAGACCTTGGCTATGGACACTATATTAGCTAATGCTAGATTCTTTGATGGAGATCTCTCCAAAGTGCCCACAATGGCTCTCACAGTTGGTGTGGGTACAGTCATGGATGCCCGAGAGGTTAGAAACATAGTAGTTACTTAATAGAAAGCAGCATAGAGGGAGCTTTGGTGCAGTGGTCCATCTTGATAACTGTAATCAAGACTATGATGTGTGTGCTTCTAAGAGGTGGGGATATGTTTAATCAATAGCCAAATACTCCCTTTCACATGAACTGATTGTTAAAGAGGTGATGGTCTGTCTATATGGGCTACCTTGTATAGGCCCACTGCTTTTAGACAGGTGTGTCTCTTTGACATTGATGTTCCCCACAGTAATGGGACTTGCTACTTTAAGCATGACTCAACCCTAAAGTTAGTAAGGAACAGTGGTAAAATGCTTCACTGATCCTTTGCCTGCTTTTGCTACACCTTGTTGCATACCAAACCAGTCAGATCCAGCCATAAATTCTGCTGATGGAAGGGATGTTGTCAGTTTATTGTTAATTCTTGCCTCCCCCTTCCTGTCGCAACCCAGACTGCCACATGAAATGCTGCTCCTTATAGACTCCCCAGAAACAATACGGAGGGGGGAGTTGGAAGTCTAGTGGAAGGAGGGGCTGGAGAGATTTTGAGTCATTTTTAAGCACATACTTAAGACAGATTTGCCCAGTCTTGAGCCTCTTTCTGAACCTCCACAAATTGTAGCTGTCCTGGTTATGGATGGAAGCTCTGTGCTGTTTTTCATTGGAGATGCGGCATGCAGAGAAAGGGGGCTCAGACTTTCCATGGCACTGTTGTCCTGACCTGAAATGGCCCTGTGGGTAATATTTACTCCTTTGGAGGCTGCATGTCTACTAATGAGCTTCATGTTACCGTTCCACAATGGGCCACTAGCTGAAATTTACCACTGGATCCAACCCAGTGCCTCTTGCATCCTTTTTCCCCACATTGATGACCTGACAACACTTTTGAATTACCTTAATTTTGTAAAGCAGGGTAGAAAGGGGTATTCTTGGTGTGTTTCTGAAGCCATTGTTAACAGGCCTAACATCCTGTGTGTTCTTCAATTCAGGTTATGATTCTGATCACAGGAGCTCATAAAGCATTTGCTTTGTACAAAGCTATTGAGGAAGGAGTGAACCACATGTGGACAGTCTCTGCTTTTCAACAGCATCCCCGTACTGTCTTTGTGTGTGATGAGGATGCCACTCTGGAACTTAAAGTAAAAACAGTGAAGTATTTTCAAGGTAAGTGGTCAGATGAGGCTCTGTGCAAACCAAGTGATACTCATATACAGGCAGACTTTTGTATAAATATTAAACATGAATGTTACTACTGGCTCAAGGTATTTTTAAAGACAACATTCGATGGGTCTGGTTCTACTAGTTACAATTAAAGGTGGGTGCGTTGATCTTCATGAGACTTGGGAGAAAGCCCTTATTTCTTGGTTTAATGAGTATTCTGCTTGTGCCATGAAAAGTTAAAACCTCATTGAACAGGTTGTTTTTCAGTGTCCCTTGGTTGGTTTCACCCAACATCTGTCATATTCCTGACCCTTAATTGTGGTTTTGCTAACCTTTTAAAAAAACAAAAACAACCCTGGTTGAATACATGTTCATTTTCTCACTTGCTACAATGAGATGACTGAAGCCTCTCTCTTCCCTCGATGTTTTCTTTGTCACATCCATTAGAACAGGATGCATGTCATCCTGTAAAGCTTGCCTGACCCCAAACTCCCATCCCAAAGAGATGCATGCACACACACCAAGCCAAGCAAAAAAACAAAGCCAGCCCTAGATATGTAGAAACTTGATGAGTAGCAACCAAAGGCCATTTTCTAATTGAACATTTTGACATGGTATTGCAATCCTATGCAGAAAGTGGAGAGGATGTCAGTGAAAAATGTGAGTTCCACCCCATCATTTGAAAACCCAGTTTTGAACAGTGGTTAGATGCTTGCAGGAAGTTTACAAGCGCAGCATGAAGGAAATAGTATGGCCCTGCTGAACATTCCTGGTATCTTGCAATTGGAGAACTACCACCACTGCCTCTGCACAGAGAGGGCTTATTAGGTCTGTTATTAAAAAGTCTCTGATTTAGGAGCTATCCTTGCATGACAGGATTAGACAGTAAATTAGACTGTATTAAAGTTGTCTACTTTTCCTGCTCATCTTTGCCCTTTACAGTGTGTTCTCCTTTAAGTGGAGACCAAAACTGTGCCCAGCTTTCTGAAGGCAGGCACCCTTATCCAAATATTACAAGAATCTAGAAGTTCCACAACATAGAAAATGTCTGAATGTTCTGCACGCTGATGTTTCCATTTCCAACACTGTTAAGTATTGTGGAAATCCAGTTGTCATGGATTTCACAGCAGAGCCTCAGGAACAGCATGGAAAGCAAAGTGGGAAAGAGGAGTTAATTGGAAATTACTGCCCCATCCTCTGCAAATGAAAATGACATCCTACTGAAGGACCTGTGCGTTTGGATAAATATGTACGTTATACCAGAGCTTGATTAAATGGACCATGTCTCTCATCCAATGGCAATGTCACATAACTCTTGCAGCCCTCTAGGTCCACATCTTTATAATGTCACTGCTTATGAAGGTTCTCCACCCCTCCCCCAGTTTCATTAATTTAGGATTTGAAGGGAAACTGAATTTGGTGATGTCACGTCCTGTATGTTCTCTCCCTAGTAATCCAAAATATGATCTTCCACTTTTGGGGGGAGGGGGTAGTTATTCTTCCAAAGGAACTTGTTAGTTACATTCCTTAACTCAGTTCATAAACCAGTGGTCATCTTGTACAGCCTTTACATACAATGTATTTAAGAGAAAGCAAGTAGTAAGGCGTGGGTGTACATTTTCACTTTGACTTGTGACAGGTATTTTGCTTTGCAAACTTTATTTTACTTAATGCTTTCCATGGTGACAGGTTTGATGCTCGTTCACAACAAGTTAGTGGATCCCTTATACAGTATGAAAGAAACAGGAGCAGAAAGAAGCCAGTCCAAGAAGCCATACAGTGACTAATCTCTTAAGACTCTGGAAGCAGAACCTTGTGTTGGGAGATTTCCTCCATCACTTGTTACACGTCTACAAGATCATAACACATTTTTACTCCAGTGTTGAAAAAAACAAATTGACGTAAACCCGGTGGAGGCAGTAGCAATGGACGCAGTAATCTCCAAGAGGAAGGCGAACTACAATTGTCCATGTTTTAATAAGCAAGACCAAATGAATAAAAATGTGTCAGTTCTTCATAATAGATCATGTACTTTAAAGAGTCATTTAAAACAAATGAATTTAGCAAGCTATTTGTTTGATTCATAAAAACTCAGTAAGTGTCAAATAATGTACTTTTGCTACTAATGTGGTTTTTCTACATTAAAAGCATACCTGTTTTCTAAAAGATAATGAATTTGTTGTTGAATCTTTCCAAATCATGGGGAGCACTAGCTAGGCATCTCTAAGGTCAATGCGTGCCCTTACTGCCCTTATTATTATTATACTGCTTGCAGAAGGAATGGGGTGTGTGCCACTTCCTTCTCCTACTAAGGCTCATACAAGCCTACATACAGTAGACTGGATATGCATAAAGAAGGGTTACTATTCTCATTTCTGAACCACTTCATTATCTGAATGTTACAGCTGTCGGTAACTCAGATCAAAGACAAAGAAGGCGAACCCTTACAGCACAATGCAGGAAGGGATGTATTAATAACGGACTTGACTTCTTTGGCAGGCTCTAACCCATACCAACTAGAAGGCAGTAGGTGGGCCTAGGCAAGCCAGAACGACTTCCTAGTCATCCTTCTGTGTAAGAGGAGAACAACATCTGCAGCACACTAGGGAAACACCCTCTACGGCTGTGTTAAAATTATCGTACATAATATAACATGGCCTGCCAAACCTTTTCATAGTTCGAGCCTCTGAACCAATCAGGAATAACCACCATCCAAATTTTCTTATAATCCTTCTGCATTCTAGGTTTTTTTAAAATCTCTTTAAAAGAACAGTGCAGTTCAATGTTTGATTAGTAAAATGTAAAAAATAGTTTTTAAAAGAAAGCTTTGAAGGAAAGGAGTGACTGATTCGCAGCATAAGGATAAGTAAATCAGCATGTTCTACAACCAGCTCCTGGGGAAGCAGAAAGAGATGGGTCCTTCTGAAGTCATGATACACATATATTAACAGTGTAGAACAGACAACAGGCTCTCTGCTTCATATAACTCTATGGAACCTTCATCTATAGTAACGATAGTCACTTCTTTAGCAGTGACCATTATTGTGCAGGCTTTACATGATCATGATCAAATGCCACTATTTACTTAAAATGCAATAGCCAATCTTATAGAACCAAAATATATTATTCAGATTCCATTAAATCTAGAGATAGTGTACATCAGGACAAGAATAAAGGCAATAGATTGCAGGACTGGAACATTACTGCATTAATACCTGCAAGAATTAGTTCCTTCTAAGATCTACAGAGACACAAATCTCCTCTCCTCTGACCAAAATACATGATAAAACTGGGATGGTATCTCCCTTCTCCAACTGGACCAGGTCCCACCGGAGACTCTGCTCTTTTGAGCCAGAGGGAGCAATTAGGAATTTCATGTTTGTACAGTGATCAAGAACAAGCAAAAGATGCTTACAACCTTAGCTGACTGCTGAATCAGTTTTAGCAGCAAAGGACCTTTTACCACCCCCCCCCAAAGACAACAAACTGCAAAGTGTCTAATTTAGAGTTTTGCTTGATTTTCAGTGCTCTATTATTTGAAAATTAAAGGAAAGGTTTCAGTCACCTCTATTTGAAAAAGGTCTTTAAGTCATCACCCCCCTGGGATTCAAGGCTTTTGGTATCAGCAAATCAAAGCAGCTTTGTAAGCATTTTGCAGTTCCTCTGTGCCCTCATCATAATTCCAGTAATGCCAGGATGGGGTGGGCATCAGGCACAAAGCATATATGGCAACTGCCTCAGTGTTGTTTTCTTCAGCTTTTGACACTGGGATGATGAGCTAGTCCTCATCCTCGAAGTCAGCATCATTTTGAAATAACCTGAAACATGTAAGAAATTGAATTGGGAACAAGAAAGTCAGCCAAATATATTGACATATGTATTGTCTATTAACTGTTCCTAATATACATAGTTATGTTAAAGACACATCTGATTTTATTTCTAAAATAGGACTAGCTATTCCAATGAATGCAGTGTTAGTGACCCTGGATGTGGGATCGTTGTATTCTAACATCCCACATGAAAAAGCCAGATTGGTGACGGAGATCTATCTAAACAAGAGATTAGAATCCGTTCCACCTACTTCTTTTTTGCTGCAATTAACAGACCTTATCCTGGAAAAAAGTTATTTTAGATTTCGAGAACAGTTCTTCCTACAAGTCAGAGGGGTAGTACGGCTTGCTTATTCATGGCTTGGTTAGAAGAGAGATATGAAGAGAACAAGCCATTTCCTCCAGGGAGACAGTTCCATTGTGATTCTGCTGCTGTGGGGGGAGAGGAAGCAGGTGGGTGGCTGGGAGAGTGATGGGGGCAGAAAGAGAAAGAGTGATGAGTGACTAACACATGGAATTCACTGCCACGGGAGGTGGTGGTGGCTACAAGCATGGACGGCTTCAAGAGGGAACTAGATAAACATATGGAGCAGAGATCCATCAGTGGCTATTAGCCACAAGGTATAGATAGGGGCTCTGGGGCAAGTGATGCTCTGTCTTCTTGGTGCTGGGGGGGGGACAGTGGGAGAGCATCTAGTGTCCTGGTCCCACTGATGGACCTCCTGATGACACCTGGTATTTTTGGCCACTGTGTGACAGAGTGTTGGACAGGATGGGCCATTGGCCTGATCCAACACTGGCTTCTCTTATGTTCTTAGGTGGGGAGGCAGAAAAACAAAGGGAATGATGACGGGTCAGAAAGAGAGAGGAAGTAACATGCATGGAGGAGAGATAAGAGAGTAAGAAAAGTGGGGGGGCAGAAAGAGGGGAGGAAGCAAAGGTATGAGGAATGGGATAACCATCCCGCAAGTTTCTTGCAGGTCTCCACTTGTTTAGTATAAATTCATAGGACATATGTATAACAGAATTGATGTAGGTAAAATATTACTTGAACAAGAGGCGGAATGGATTTATAGATTGGACACTTTGATACCCTTAGGTTTAAATCAAAATCTTGATTATAGCTGTTTTTTAATGAGTACAGCTCTTTAAAAACTATGTTGTTATGCAGCATTGGAGGCACATCTGTTAAGGATCAGGAGATCTAGGTGAGTGGTTTATTTAAATGGTAAGTTTTTTTACTAGTTGTTATTTGTTTGAACTTACTTAAAATTGTTGGAGCTGTATGCTGGACTGATAGATTTTGAGAATTTTTTCTGAAGCGATTGGAAAGCATAATATTCTAAGTCTAATTTTATAGGCATTGATGTGGGTGCCTTATATACAAAAATATTTTTACATTGTATATGTGAATTTCAGACTGCATGGTTCTACTTTTGAAGAAGCTTTGGGGGAACGTGATATCCCACAGCTAGCTGTTGTATGAAGGGGAGTGGCTGAAACCTTTGTCCGTATTGAAAATTCATCTTCTACCTTTGTATCAGGTGTATCCTGAGTGAACGCCGCATATGGACTATATTTATAGTGTGTAAACTGAGTGCTTACATTAAGCCTTTTGCACTTTATGGGTTTTTGCAATGTATTGTTGTTAAGAATTAGTTGAGATTTTCATAAAGACATTTTTATTCATATAATTTGATTAATGTTTCCTGAATATTGATTGAGATACTGTTTATTTATACACAGGTTGTTTTTTGCTTATTGATATACCATGCACGGCAAATTATTTTACATGAGGGAGTATCCAAATATGCAATTTCCCCCATGTGGGGTCTGAAGTGGCATATTCTAGGGCCTGGTCTATTACATGCAGCGAGGAAAGTGCCAGCCAAGTCAAAACGACTCACAAGGAGTGTTTCATTATTATTATTTTTTTATGTTGGGAAGCAGTCACAAATGTTATCTCCCCCCTGAAGTGGTACAATCTGATACATCACTTGACCATACTGTATGATTCTGCTGATTGTATAAACTGGCTCTTTGTGACAGATCTTGAGAGATGGGTAATAATAGACACATCACTGCAGTCTTCAGGTCCAGGTGATTATTTGGTTCCCCAAATGGAATTCTTACATAGTAATGCCAATTTCCTAACCAGAAAACATGGCTCCACTGCATAATAATTATATGACACTTCAAGAATGGCTTTAACTATCTAGTGGCTGGCTGATACTCAAGTTCCATTCCAGAATACTAATTATTGGAGAAGGTATTTAATTTTTCCATGTCCCCGTTTTTTAAAAAATATATATACATTATTGTATAGACCAACATAGAAGTAAGATTTAAAGTGCCCCTTGAACAGCTGACCATATTGTAAACATTTCCACCAAATAAAGCAGCTTAAATGGTGGATGGAGCTTGTTAATGCTGTCTCAGAGTTGGATCCAGCAATCTGGGAGCACAAAGACTGCAGGTCTTTCCCTTGTTCCCCTTTCCACAGCAGTCCTTTCTGGCCCCAGAAAAGTTGATTCTATGGGTCAAAAAAGCCAACAGTTATGTGGGTTAGGGGGATGACAGAGAAGGGGGAGAAATCACTCTGTCCTTCCTCCCTAAAGTTTGCACAAAGACTCTATGCTGAAATTCTTCTAGAGGTCAGCCTGCTAACACAAGTAAACATGGTGTTGTAATACACAACTTGAAGTAACTTCTCTTACAGTTATGTGTAATTATACATACCGGTCAAAACATGGGGAGTTTGGATCATTAAAATGTCCATATGGATTTGCCTTTGACAGAGATCTCATACAAATCCAACAGAAGTGCTGCATGCAGCCAGTGCATGTCATTTTGTTACAGCCATCAAACTTCTGACAATAGGAAGAAAAAAAATGCAAAGAATCAGTAGAACAGTAGAAAAGTCATAGCTACTAAACTGAGATTAGCATTTATGCTGAGCACTGAAATTTGCGATGCAGAACACAGGATATTTAATTGCTCACTGGAATCCTGGAGGGAGGGGAGGAGACAAGTTGCTCTGTTTATCTTTGATACACACAGGGTGCGTTCAGACGCGCTGTTAGATCTGGTGTTGATCTGGCCTACAAGTTACTATGAAAGTTATCATGTAACTTAACAATAGCTGAGCTTCCGGTACGGCGTCTTCGACGAGCGGGGGGGCGTTTGTATCGCTCCGTCCCGTTTCGACCCGCCAGCGCTCTTTTTGAACCTCCCAGACATGGGAGAGTTCGACCAGCGCTCTCTGACAGAGTGCTGGGGTAGAAATTTGCGATGCAGAACACAGGATATTTAATTGCTCACTGGAATCCTGGAGGGAGGGGAGGAGACAAGTTGCTCTGTTTATCTTTGATACACACAGGGTGCGTTCAGACGCGCTGTTAGATCTGGTGTTGATCTGGCCTACAAGTTACTATGAAAGTTATCATGTAACTTAACAATAGCTGCCAGAAATTTTGCCACACACAGATTAGTCTTGTTTATCTTTATCTCTGAGTAACCGGGATGATTTCACTTCTGAAGAGGCAAAGTTCTGATTAAATAATGGAGAGATCAGTTTAGTTCTTAGATCTGAAAATTTGGCGCAGTAAAAAAAAAGATCTACAGAATTGATTTTGTTGTGGCCACAATTACAACAGAGTATCTGAATTTTTCTAAGATCACTACTGAAGGTAGGGCAAGCATGAATACCCCCCTGGACTTCGGAAGTTAGCTCAGATAGATAGTTTGACAATTTTGCTGTCTACTGAAAAAGATGAGCACACTCTGCGGGCTCTAATCAAAGTCCCTCAGCTGTCTTCCAATGAGCTGGATCAATTCTTGACTACTCATTGTTTCTATCACATTATGGATAATACCCAAACATGATCATTGATGATCCAGTAATCTGTCCCAATCACTTCTGTGATGGTTCAACTTAACAAGTCCAAGGAGGCTTTATTCTGGGTTTGATTTTAGGATTCTAACTTTCAGATTGAATGCTCTTCCCCAGGCCTTTGCATCAAAGGACATCTCCCCAACTTCGGCTCTCAGAACTATTCCAGACACACACTGAGGAATTCCCAACATATTGTGTAGGAATCTTAATAATGGTCTCTCGATGTTGAGTGTTACTGCTCTGATCCAAACCCCGACAGCATATAGCATCTGCCCAGCAACTCTAGCACTGAATACTTTAACTGCCACAGGGAAATATTAGCCACCAGAGGATTAATAAAATATTGAGATGGCCTTCCCAGTACTCATAGCAACTCTCACAACAGAGTTCAAGTGCACCTTCTAATAAAGGCTTGCTTGAAAAATAATTCCTAGATATCTGAAATGTTCTACTTGCTCCATAGATTGACTTGCTACTGACCACTTGTACTTCTTTATCCTTCATTTTTTTTACTGAAAAGAAGAACCTTTGACTTAGTAACATTAAGTAACATTAGTAACAACAACCTTGTTGGAACAATACCCCCAAAAGGAACCTATAAGCTTGCATGGGCTAACCACAGATCTTGAGACGAGGGCAGTACCATCCACATATAAGAGACAAGGTACTTTAACATGAGCCAGGCAAGTGAAATATGAGACGTTAAATCATTAAGATACAAGTTAAATAGCAACGGAGCAAGGATACATCGTTGCTTGACTCCTCAACGAGACAGGAACAATGAAATGCTTTGAATGCAAAAAAAGTAAATATTCAAGAAAACATATAGTTGACTCAAGTTCTCTTCCTCTGCCCTGATATTACCTGTATAGGAGTGCCACAGGAGGGACATCCTTTGGAATTCTTTTCCAGCCATTCTCTACTTCCCTTTTCCTCCAGTGCCTTTTGAATCACCCTTTGCCCATAGCGTTGCTCTAGAAACTTTCTTGTAGCCTCATCCGCTTCAAGGTAGTCATTCTCCAAATCTATTAATTTATCTAAGGAAAGCAGTGGAACAAACAAGATTGTGTGAGGGCTTGCAAGACTATACAGTAAACAAACATGCCTAGCTACACCACAAACCAAACAAATGCCATTACCAGTTAATCATGCATCCTTATCGTATACAAAACAATCAATAGTAGATACAAAGTAGTTATTCAAGACAGAACATTTTCTACCTTTTCCCTAAAAATAAAAACTACTAATGTAAGCAGTTAGTTAGATGCATACACTATAGGAACAGTTATTTCGTATAACATGACTTTGAGGTTATCTGCTTCACTTTGTTTTACCCAAATGGTGTTTTTCACTCTACATTTTAAAGCACTGTTTTCTTCCTGAGTTGAAGGGCTCAAAGAAGATAAGGAGACAGTAAGGGTAAGCAGAAAACATGAAGACTGACCAAATTAGCTGCATCTTTGGAGAACAGTATAAGTTCTTGCATTTAACTCACCTACAGTGACTTTACATGGAGAGACACCATGATAAGTCTTCTTACACAGGATACAGAAGGCATAATTGCACCTGGAACAGATGGCCATGCTACAGCATGGTTCCTGCATCACTGGCGTTTGGCAACAGGGGCGTGGGCAATTCACCACATCTGCCATCAAATCCAAGCTGGACTGAAGCAGTAGGCGGTCATAACGGGCAAATAGCTGCTCTCCAACTAGCTCTTTCACCTAAAAGCATAGGGTATCAATATATGATAAGGTTAGTGAATTTTGATCCTTTAAAAAAAGGGGAAGCCAGCAATGGCTTGTATGCTGAATTCCAGAATGATTTTACAGTCTAATTACTGAGAGGGACAAAAAAGTACAAATATATGGATGCCTTACCACAAAAATTTCATCTTGGAGTGTTTGCCCCAAACTATATTTTGTTGTTATTGGTCACTGTAGAATACAACTGGTGCCCAATACTGCGTATTTATACATGTGCTAAAGATGAGTAAGGACCAGCACTGGTCCAGACAACACTAAATACTAACAGTAGGCTTCCCATATACTTCAACTGAACCCATTTATCTGAAAACCTAATATAGAGCAACATTATGAACTTGGCCTAAAGCCTTGGCAGCCACTGTTCTCTGGCTGTTCTCTAACAAAGGTGACAACAGAGTCTTTCTTCTCTGACACACCCTTTCCTGTTTTTGAGGCTCAGGATAATGACAGATAAATAGTCAAACTATATGAGGACATGTAGGAAAGAGTCCAGTACTGCCTTGAAGACCATCAAAATTTGTAAGTCATAGCTCACTTGCTTTTTGTTAGTTTTTAAGGTGCTACTGGACTCTTACTCTTTTCTACTGCTACAGACAAACACAGCTACCCATCTTGATCTATACTAACATAGTACATGCAGATCTGCTCCCAGATCTTATCTGTTACCATCGTGCTTTGTGTGACTGCAGGTATGAGATCATAGAGAGAGCACATAGAAACCAACATTTTTTCTTTTTAATAGACTGCCCATTAACAAAATGTTACCTGCCCTGGAGTAGCAACAGAAGAACATTCCAATCCTGGACAATTCAGGCAATGGACCTGCCCATCTCTAATCTGAATTTCAAAGTAGTCCTTTAGGCAGGCTTTGCAATACACATGGCTGCAGTCCATGAAGTGCATACATTCACTTCCCAGCTTTTCGGAAAAGCAGATATTGCATAAGTACATTTTACTATTAAAGCACTTTTCTCTTCGGGCCTGATCAAAATCTATTATTTCTCTAATCAGGTTGGACTGAGACTCAACATCTTGTATAGCTCTTGGATCAAGGGTTTCTTCCTGTGCTGCTGCAGCACTTGCTATGGCACAGCAAGCTTCTTCTTTATGTATTCTGTTTTGCTTTTGTTCTTGTTTGCATATCTTTGGCTCATATGGGGAGGTAATGTTCAGAAACCCAAGTGTTTCTTCCTTGAGAAACTGCATCCAGGCAAACAAGACCACACAGCCTCTGTTCTCTTCCCATAAGTTGTCTAAGTGCTTGCAAAGTGCAGTGAGCTAGGTGAGAAGCAGAAGAAAAGAGTATTAAAGGAAGAACACCACTTTTTACAGCTTTGGGGGCAATCTGTGTCAAACTGCACCATTTAAGAAAGTATCAGATTTCAAAGTAAGGGTATGATTAAAACAAAGCTGCTGCTATATACGTTTCTCAAAAGAAACAGGAATACTTCTCTTATACTATTCTGGATTACTCTGGCCAGGCCAGTCTCAAATATAGGTGTGCACTTAAGAAGCCAATTCTACTTCTATTTCATTACCATACATTTGTATATGATATTTTCTCACTTTAACAGCAAAAAACGGTAGAATCTAGTAGCACCTTAAAAACTAACAACATTTGTGGCAGGGGATGAGCTTTCATGAGTCACTGCTCTCTCCTTCAGATGCAACTAGAATATGAGTCCATCTGTCCTATGTATTGGAAAGTGGAGCGATTTCACATGCCAAATGACATTAGCAGGCAAATGACAATAGAAAGTGTGATTGCATGCGGTGTTATATGAAGAGAGGTAGGGGTGGAGAAATCAGCACTGGTAATGACACATGAAACCTAGGTCTCGATTCAATCCAGGTGAACTTTATGATCAGTTGCAATTCAGCAGTCTCTCTTTCTAATCTCCCTTTGAAATTCCTTTGTAAGAGAACTGCTACTTTTGGGTCAGCAACTGAATGTCCTGGAAGGTTAAAATGTTCCCCCCCCACACACTGTTTTTTTAATGTTGTGGTTTCTGGTATCAGACCTATGTCCATTAATTCTTTGTCAAAGGGACTGGCCTGTTTCTCCAATGTAGAGGAGTAGAAGGCCATTGCTACTGACACATGATGACATAGATCACATTAGAGGATGGGCAGAAGTAGAAACCTGAGATGGTATATGGCTGATGTTGCTGGGTCCAGTGATGGTGTTGCTAGGGTCTATATAAGAGCGATGCTGATTTCTCCATGCCTACTACCTGCAATCTTCCAGCCCAATCCTAAACATTTTTAGTACAAGGCAAATTCCACTCCATTAAACAGAACTTAGATTCTTTCAGATAAATTTGGAATGGTAATCTTAATATAGGTGGGGCTGAGTGAGCTCTGAGAGAACTGTGGCTGACCCAAGGTCACCCAGCTGGCTGCATGTGGAGGAGTGGGGAATCAAACCCAGTTCTCCAGATTAGAGTCCACAGCTCTTAATTACTACACCAAGCTGGCTCTTACTTAATACTAATTATGCAGCACTGAACAAACTTGGATAATAATAAGGGATTTCAGTAAAAACAAGGTTTGAATATTGGGCAGTGTTAAAATTAGGCATCCTCAGAAGATGATTTGTTCCTCATTATGAGAATCTTTTAACAATATTCCAACTGTGTTTCACATCGCACAAGTACGTAGTTGTGCAACATTATGGATGCACATATATTCAGACCCCCCAAATACATTTATGATAGGATTTTCAAAACAACATGCAAAACTATTTATGCTAAATTGGAGTTTAAAGGTTTAGAGATGATTTTCAGAACAGCTGGATTTTTTTAAAAAATTGCACCGTTTTGAATGTATGATTGAATGTATCGTGTGATTGAATGGATCGTTCAAGTGCTTTCAGAAATGCACTGAGACGAATCTTCAGCTAAGAGCAATTTAACATTTATTTATATTTATTTATATCCTGCTTTTTCTTTTTGCTCAAGGTGGCTTACAAACTGGAATTTAAAGCACAGAGAATCTATAATAAAATCCCCAATAACCTGCCTCCCCGTTTGTGAAATGCATCATAAGTTTTAATGCACTGATTATTTTCTCTAGTGGAATCTAGATTTTAGTGTACTTCACTTCTTGTGAGTAGTCTTTCTACAACTGCATCTATAACAAGCAGACGTTTCATCATCACTAAACATCTTTTTACTATCTGAAGAACACAAAAAAATTAAAGATTAATGGCAAACCTGTGCTCGGGAGAGCCATTTGTTACTGAGAGTGAATAAAGGTGGTGAGGTTGATGGATAGTCTACTGGGAATTCAAAATTCAGAACAACTGGAGGCAAGAAGGAAACTGTGCATTCGAATTTGCCATTCTGAAGATTCTCTAAAGGACTGCCTGAAACAAAATAAAATAAATCTGATAAGAACATAAGGACAACCATACTGGATCAGACCAGTAGTCCATCCAATACAATATCATTTTTCATTCAATGACAAACCAGATGTCTCCAGAAGGCAAGGCATGGATGCCAAAGCTTCCCTCTGTTGTCACCACACAGCACTGATATTCAGAGTTACTGCTTCTGAACACCAAGGTTTCATTTAATCATCATTAGCTGACAGCCATTGATGAACCTGTCTTCCAAAAATTAGTCTAAGTTCCCTTTAAAGCCAACTAAAACAATGGCTATCACAGGGTTGTCAAACATGTGGCCCAGGGGCTGGCCGCAAGGCCCTGGCTGTTTCCTGCTTCCTTTTCCAGTTCTGCTGCTGCTGGTACATTACAGCTTACTTTGCACAAGAGAAATAGATATGCAAGCCTGTGTGATTGAGAGAGCCTGATAAAGCACTGGCTGAGGCTCCTCCCCCTCCTCCCCCCAAGGGGAGGAAGGAAACCATCCAGAGCTCGCTTCCTGGCCAGGCTGTCTCAATCGTATAGAGGGGACAAAGGGAAGCCTTTCTTTCCTTCCACTAGCTGAGGCTCCTCCCTGAAGGGAGGCAGGGAGGAAGGGAATGAAGGAGAGCTTGCTTTGCTGGGCTGCCTCAATCACACAGCAGAAATACCAGGCATCTTTAAGACCAACAAAGTTTTGTTCAAGGTATGAGCTTTTGTGTGCCTTGCCACAGTGTGTGTATATTCTGTTGGGCTCCTTATGCTGTGTGTGTGCATGTTTTGTTGGGCTCCTTATGTCAGGGCTCTCCTGGGTTCAACTGGGTTCCCTCCTCCTTTTCACTATGTTCATGCCCTCATGATCCAGTCTTTCTCAGTAAGAAAGCAATGTGAACTATTTTAGAGGAGGAATAACAACAAGCCTGTGAGGTGGATTAGGCTGAGAGTATGTGTCCAGACTAAGTTCACCCAGCACATTTCCTTTGTAGGAAGTTGTAGTCATTTCTCTGGGGAAGACTACAGTTTTGCAGACAAACAAACAGCATTCAGTCTGTGTCAGGATGCCTGCACATGAAGCAACTTATGTACAAAAGCTCGCAATGTCCAGCCATTTCATGTTTTCCCCTGGGTCCTAGGCTCAGAACACTGAGCATGAGATTTCTATAATGAATGTCAATAAATCAAAAGTAGGTTTGCAGCTTACAGATACACGCCTGAACAGCATACTCAAGATTGCTACAGCACAGACATTTTGATGCAATAATACAGAGCAAGAGGTGTCAGTTATCAGAGACTGTTAAATAGACAAAATATTACAAGAGTGCTAGTGTTTTAAGTATGTTTTATTTAAAGTTTTAAAAATCTTAAATTGTGTTTGTCTGTGTCCTTTATAAAGTTTATATCTCCGCTACATATCATTAAATTTTATGACACACATTGCCCAGCCCAACAAGAGTTCATTTATTTCAGATCTGGCCCTCATAATAAATGAGTTCGACACCCTGGACTATCATTATATATTATATCCTATGGCAATGAATTTCATAATCTTATTACTCTGAGTAAAGGAGTACTTCATGTTGTCCATCCTTAATTTATTACCAAACAACTTCATTAGGTGCCCACAAGTTTTATATTTTAGGAGAGAGAAAACGTTCTCTGTCCAACTCCTCTTCATCTTATTGTCCAACTTCTGCTTTGTGTTATTGTCTTTTCTGTAAACTAAAAAGCCGTAAACCAAACCCTGTAGTCTTTCCTTATACAGGAGATGCTCCAACTCTTTGATCATTTGGCTTGCCCTTTTCTAGAGTTGCAATATTCATTTTGAGATACAGCAACCAGACTTACAGCTATATTATACAAGGGCATTATGATACTGACAGTTTTGTTCCCAAGCCTTTTCCTAATAATCCATAGCACAGAATTTGTCTTTTTCTATTTGCTGTCACACTATGGAGCCAAAATGGTCCACAATTTCTGAAATTTCCTCTGGGTCCCTTTTTAAAAACTGGCATTACGTTTGCCACTTTCTAATCCTCTTGGATGAGATGTCATAGATGCAACGAACATGAAATTGAGCAAACTTCAGAGGACGGCGGAAGACAGGAAGGCCTGGCATGATCTGATCCATGGGGTTGCGAAGAGTCGGACTCAACTGTGCGACTGAACAACAACAACAAAATCCTCTTGGAAAGGAGGCCAATTTTAGTGACATGTTACATATTTTTTTTGTTAGGAGATCTACAATTTTGCAGCTGAGTTCCTTAAGAGCCTTTGCACAAGAATTCCTTAGGAGAATAATTCCTTCTGTTATGGGTTAGTCAGGGCTCAGCGATAGCTAAGACTCCTCAGGAAAAGAGGAGCCTCCTGTAGCCAGCCTTGAGTCAAAAGAAATTGACCAGCAAGAGAATGAAATGCAGGCTTATCAGGATTCACAGCAAACAGCTGATGCAGAGCCACCAACACCCTCCAGTCCTGATGCAGCAGGTGAACCTCAGCCGTTTCCAGCCACCAGTATCTCCCACACCCTTAGAGCACCACAGACAGAAGCCAAGAACAGAGCTACAGGCAAGGAGGCAAAGTGTACACCTCATGGCCTGATGCCAGCTGCTTGCTGATGATGAAGCTAAAAAGTTGCAGGATAACTTCTAAGCAGCTGGCTGCAAACATGCCCCTTAGGCATACGGCAATATAAACCAACCAAAAGAGACTGTTGGGCATGGACACAACGCGTACATTGGACGCTGACCTGCTGCCACTGCCTTGCCTGACTCTTAGAACTCTGATCTTCTGACCTCGGACTGAATGACCTTGCCTTGCTTACTCTGCTCTTCTGACCTCGGACTGAACAACACTGCTTGATCTCTGGAGCCCTGACCCTGGACTGAACGACATTGGACTTTGGAACCTGCCAGCCAGTATACCTTCCTTCTCTCTGTAAAAATGTCTTAAACTGAGAACACTGTAAAACCAACAGTTTTTAAAAGTTACTGAATTCGCCACCTGAATGTTATACAAAAATATTCTCCATTGCTTCTCCTTCTGCTAATTATTGTTCCTGATCTTGTAGGTTGCTGTTCCAACAAAGAGCCAGTCAGGATGGACCTCAAATGTCTACTATGTCTACTATGACCAGGGACTGTGTTGGGATCACAAGCTGATAATGTACCAGCTCCAAGTGGATGACTTGCTGCTACTTTGCTAACCAAAACTATCACTTCCAAATGTTGTGAGCATTTCTAAGTAAGTCCAATGTTGTTCAATGGGTTTTACTCTAGGAAAGTGTCCTTAGGATGGCAGCCATTATGTGGCAATGAAACAAAATGATCAGTGGCAAAGAAAATGGACAGGGACAAGGGCAGGGGGAACAGGCCACATGATGGCTGGTGCCTGTTCACATGCAAGATGTTCTAACACAGTTTCTGCCTTCTGTGTCAGCATACAAATCTTCACACACTAGACATGTTTCAGTTTCACTGGAACTGGTATGCATCACAACTAACCTACTTACCACATGCCTAAGCCAGCACAAGCCATTCTGTCACAGTGATGTGAATATTTAAGATCAAGTGACATTTTAAAAACACTTCTGAGATTTTTGAACCTTCTGCATTGTACCTCATCTCATCCTTCCTTTAACACAAACAGAGTTTACTCTGATTTTCATCTGTATTATTTTCAAAATCCTAAGAAATTGTGAAGGAAGTGCACACTGTTAAGGTCACTTAAAAACAAATGCAGAAAACGTATCTCCCACTATCAGTGTAATTCAAAACATGTACTCAGAATTAAACTCCACTGAGTCCAAAAGGACTTACTCCTTAAGTGAACATAGGACTGCAATTTAGGTATGATAAAAACAAAATTACAACACTCAAAAGAAAGAAAAGCCTGCTTAACACTTATATACCTTGAATAAATTTGTTGGTATAATATATTGCACCTCATCTTTGCTGGATTCACAGTCTTATCAATTAAAGCTTTCAGAATCCATTAACAGAGAGTGCATAGTATCTGCTCCCCTCCAAACGCAATGCATGCAAAATGTGCTGTGTGACCTGACCAAAATGTGCTGTGTGCATGGATTCCTGATCACAAAGTGTTCCGAACACTGAGACAGGGAACTGGCAAGCGGAGACTTGACCCAAAACCCAACTGTGTGCAGAATCTACATGCTGAGCCAACTCTGTTAAACAACTGCTAGGTAAAATATTTGGAACATGTGGCAGGATGACAATAATTTCATGACAGCAAATGCCAAAGAAAGCTGGACTCACCAGTCACAAATATATCAAAGTTTTGTGGCAGGTCCACAGAGACTCTAATTTCTCCTCCCTGTACAGACTCTGCTTTCTTGAACTCATCTTCATCATAAATACTTGCCAAAGCAAGAAGCTCGTCCTCTTGAGCTTCTTTGTCCTCTGAAGACATTTAAAGTTCCTTCCAAAGATTAATATATTTCCTAGATTAAGCAGAACACTATAAATTAAAACTATTATTATTTAGATATATACATGTTGAATGTAGTCAAGTGGTCAAAACTTCACATAGTTTCAGTGGGATTACATTTAAGGAAGCATTTGTAATGCATACCTAAGATGCCTTTAGTTCATAACATGATTTTGTTGCAGCCTAAAAGCACAAACACAGAACCACATAATGTGTGATCACAGCATAGCGGGACAGGTTTTTTGTTTGATTACACACTGGCCAAAACATAGGTTAAGCATTATCACCTACTCATATCCCATATTGCTCTAACAAGAAATGATGGTAACAGCAGCAATATATCTTTTCTAAAGAGACACCTGCAGGCTTCCAGTTTGATTTGGAAATCTCCATTTTACACTCTCAGGATGGGCCAAAGCTCACTAAATTTGTAAGGTACCTTACACAACTCTGCATTCCCTTGGTTGTAGGCTTTGGGTTTAGGGGGTGATGGACATAGATCTCGGAAGGCTTATCTTTGCTTTGTGTTTTCAAATGATTCAGACACATGGGCAAAGACAGCCAAAAATCTATTAAAATATTTACATTTGTACGTTCCAATCAAGAATACATCAATAAACAATGACGGTTGGCATTTTGGTGAGAAACATCATACAAAAATTTGTACCTTTCTAGACACATCAATAAGGTCGGAACATTCATGCTGTTTATCTTCTGATTTTACAAGAAGCAACAAGACAATATTGGCCTGTGCTGCCTACATAGGTTTAACAAAAAATTTATTTTCTTCAAAAGAGAAATAAAATATCAACATTCTCCATTTGTACAGTTTTTACTAAACAGTGCTAGAATAGGCTGATTTTTTAAAATCCTCATTGTAGATCCAATGTAAGGATTACTAAATCTAGTAAATCTCTTTTATGCTGACTCCAACAAGTAGATGTGACTACCATAGATAATCAGAAATTTTCCAGAAATTAATGAAATATTTTTTGGTGAATCAAAGTGATGCAAATGTAACAGAAGGCAGCAGAAACAGTACAGTCCTATGACAGAAATTCTACAATCAAAGCATTCTTGAGAAGAGCTGGTACAGTAGCCATTTTATTAAAAGATGACTACATGATTTCTCTTAACGGGGAGGAGCTTATACAGAAAAGTGTAGGGTGCGCAAAACCACACATTTACAGAGGAAAGGAGATGCATCACTTATTATTAGGGAGGTCATATGCAATGTTCCCTCTAAGCTGTGGAGTCCAGAGAGCAACAATTCTACTTTTTGAGCTACTGGCCTTAAAGTTGTGAGTGAGCGATTTGGCTACTGCATAAATTACTTTGCTCTGGAGCCATCCTTCCTGAGCTAAGACAAAAATGTGTGAGCTGGAGGCTAAAAAACTGTGAGCTAGCTCACACTAACTCAGCTTAGAGGGAACACTGGACTCATATGTAGTATTTCTTTGGTGACACTCGTGTGACTACAGTCCCACATAGCATGAGATCTACAGAAGGACTCAGGATAAAAATAGCCATTAAAAGTCTCTGTGACAAAAGAACCTTTCGGGGGTGTGTGGGGGGAAACAGCTGGAATATTCCCAGCAACAATTTAGTAATAACCTGCATGTTGAGCTTTCAAAGAAGTCGCCTGAAAGGGCTCTAAGCTTAGTCAACAAAATATTCAACAAAACAGTAACTGCCGTACAGTGGTACAGTGCCCAGCACCGGCTGTAGAGAGCCTCCTTTACTTCAGAGCCTCAGGTTCTTCACAGAGGCACACAGCCCTTCCTTTTTTGGGGACTGAGCCACCCACCCCCCTTATAGGGGGTGGTGATTGAACCCATGCCCACATGCCTCCTCTACCCACCCTCCCACGTTCAACCCCCAGCGCAACACTTCCTTGACGCTCTCTGTAATCTTTCTGGCACCCGCCCCTTTGGCTTGCCTTCCCCCCCCCACCCCCCCACCCGGAGTAGCTTTCAAGGCTCCCACCTCCGCTCGCAGACCCTAACACCAGGGCGCCTCCCAGTCAGAGCGCGTGCACCTACACCCTTCAAGCGTGCGGAAACCTAGTGCTTCCCACTCACCACCCCCAACTGACCCTCAACCTTCTTCTGTAAGTTCCGGGGCAGGAGTTCCGGGTCCTCTCCTAGAGCGACGGTTAATGTGCATAGATACAGACGGGCGGACTCGTGTAAGGCAGGATCCCAGGGTTCCAGTTTAAGGCTGGAGTTTCCATTTTACACTGTTGGGGTGGGGAATATAGAGAAGGGATGGAGCTCGAGGCGCCTCTGAAATCTCGCGGCCACAGGTTTTAGGTTTAGGTCATGCTGCAGATGGACTGAGCTTCATTTACCTCTGGGTTGTGATGGGTCTTCTGTGTGGTTTTCGGACTGTCTACACATGCGGACAATGTTAGCCAAATGCAGTTCGCCTGAAACGCCTGTACCTTCTGCTATGACGTTGTTTTGCTATCTGGATCTTGCAGACGTGTGCGAAGTACATAGTAGACGACAGTGGGTAGCCCCGTTAGTCTGTAGTAGCAAATTAAACAGGAGTCACTTGGCATCTTAAAAACCGATTGAGGTCTGATTTACGGAAGTTTATGCTGGAATAAATGTCTATTAGTACCAGATTCCCGTTTTATTTTGTTGTGATCTATCGCTTTAGGATCTGTTTTGAAATGTATACATATTGGCATGAATGGCAGTCTGACTCTGTTAAGCAGTCACATTCTTGAGCCTGCTGTAATCTGGTTAATTAGATACATGTCTTTTGATCCAAATAAAATGACTTCTAGATATTTCCATTGCCCTCTACTGATAGAAAATACTAAAAACCCAGCACATGTAAAAGGTCAAAGAAACCTCCAGTCACCACACCAGGCAGGCCATCCTGAATTGCATCTCTGGGGTACAGGGTGGTTGTTAACCCACACCAGTGTAATATGGGATATTAAGAGTAGAGTACAGTCTGTTACACAGTTGTCTTTTCCAGATTTGTTGTGAGAATAGTGATGGACAACCATATATAGCAGCCTGGCTTTGAAATGATGTAGACTTTAAAAGTGTTCAGTATAATTGTTTTTATCCCACCCTTTTTTCCACCGAGGAGCTCAGGAGACCTAGCATGATTTTGCCTTCCTATTGTATCCTCACAACAGTCTTGTGAAGTAGATGAGAAACAGCGTGTGACTGGGTCACACAAAATTTCACAGAATTGGAACCCACGTCTTCCAGGTGTACATGTGTGTTAAATGCTGTCAAGTTGCTTCTGATTTATGGCAGTTTTATGAATTAATTAAGGAGCTGCAGTGTCTCAAGTGGTTAAGACGCTGAACTGCAGGCTGTGGAAGGTCAGTAGTTCAGCAGTTCAAGACCCGAGGGTGCTGCATGACGGAGTGAGCTCCCATCTCAGGTTCCAGCTCCTGCCAATCTAACAATTCGAGAGCAAGAAATTGCAAGTAGATAAATAGGGACCACTTCGGTGGGAAGGTAACAGCATTCCGTGCGCCTTGGTGTTTAGTCATGCCGGCCACATGACCACGGAAATGTCTTCGGACAGCGCTGGCTCTTCGGCTTTGAAAAGGAGATGAGCACCGCAACCCTAGAGTCGGATTCGACTGGCTTTTGAGCAAGGGAACCTTTACCTTTACCTATGAATTAATTACCTCCAAAACATCCCATCATTAACAGCCTTGCTTAGGTCTTGCAAATAGAGAGCTGTGGCTTCCTTGACTGAGTCCATCTATCTCATGTTAAGTGTTCCTGTTTTCCTCCTGTCTTCAACTTTTCCTAGCATTATCATCTTTTTCGAGTGACTCTTTGTCTTCTCATAATGTGACCAAACCTTAGTTTGGTCATTTTAACTCCTAGGGAGAGTTCAGGCTTGATTTGAGCTAGAATACACATCTTTTGGGCAGTTCACAGTATCTGCAAAATTCTCAAAACCACATTCTCAAAACCACATAAATCAGCTTTATTCCTGTCTGCTTTCTTCACTGTCCCAACCTTCACACCCCTACAAAGTAATAGGGAATACTATGGTGTGAATTATCTTGCTCTTCCAGAAGCTAGGCCAATAGTCTAATCATTACAACACACTGGATCTCAGTATATGTGAACTAATAAATTTGTACCAGAAGTTCAAAGGAGAGGTCCATCAGTGGCTATTAGCCTCAAGGTATAGATAGGAACTCTCAGTCTGGGGCAAGGGATGATCTGTATTCTTGGTGCTTGGGGGGGGGCAACAGTGGGAGGGCTTCTAGTGTCCTGGCCCCACTGGTGGACCTCCTGATGGCACCTGGTATTTTTGGCCACTGTGTGACAGAGTGTTGGACTGGGTGGGCCACTGTCCTGATCCAACATTGGCTTCTCTTTTATGTTCTTAAAGTAGATTTTTATGCTACCTTCAGCAGGTCTCTGGAGAGGCAGCATGTATCACTATATCTAATAGCCAAGTGGCCCCCTCCGTGCAGATCGCTATATCCGCACTTCGGGGGCACTTGGGGGGCCGGGGGAGGTTTGTGCACACGTGGGGCAGTCCCCACGTGTGCACAAAAATACAAAAAGTTAAAAAAATTCGGGGGGATGTTTAAATCCCCCCCGAAAGTGCAACAGCGCCTCCTGCGCCTGCGC